CACATATTGTCACTCATGTGTTGCAGAATTTAACCAAGTTGGTCTGATGGAAGTACAAAGTATGCTAGTGGTCACAGAGGCCAAGAAGGGTAGAAAGGAGGGTAAAGGAGGGAGGTTGTATCATGGATACCAAAATACAGTTAGATAGGAGGATTAAGTTCTAATAATCTGTAGTAAAATACGATAGTCATAGTCAAGAACAATTAGTACATATTTCAAAATACATATAGGCCAAGAGAGGACTTCAGACATTCCCACCACATAGAATTGACTAATGATTAAGAAGATAACATTTTAATTACCCTGATATGATCCCTACATGTTGTATAATATATTGAATTACCACACTGTACTGAAGAAATCTGTATAAATATTGCGTGTTCTTAAGTGTGTTAGACACTTGCACGAATATGCCACAGTGAAACCCATTGTTCTGTGTAATTCATATGCACCAATGAAAGAAGGACCAGGGGGATGATGAAGCTACAAAAAAAGATTTTAGGATGACAACTTGTAAAGATCATCTGTGCTTCATGAAGAGAGAGGCAGTGAGTCCTGTTTCCTTGTTGTGTGCAACCTGGTCCTGCACTGATGTAGCCGTCGATGACCTTCAGGCCTCAGGGACAGTGTGAGGAGGAGGCCACTTGGGGGGGGGACCTTCCCCCCTTGGTTTTTTCCTTGGCCCCCCTTTTTTTTGACTTTTTCTTCGGAGAAATGAGCACTGCGGCAATCACTGGACAAGAGTCGAGACTCTTGTCTGATTGCACCTGGGGGCATCCTCTATGATAGCGGGGAGTCTTTCAAATCTACCCAAATGTAGTCCTGTGCCCCTTAACGATGGGGACACATTCTGAGAAATGCTTCGTTCAATAATTTCATTGTGTGAACATCATGGGGTGCACTTGTGCAAGACCAGATGACATGGCCTATACGCATCAAGGCCACGTGGCCTAGCCTGTCGCTCCCATGGCCATGATGGACAAACAATGGGAGATGAAATCAAGCCCAGGAGGAAAGTGTGCAATCAAGAGATGCAGTAAGCTCAGGTCGACGAGGTTCCTGCCAGTACCATAGGGTACATGGTCGTAGAGTGAATGATTTTTGTAAGGAGAAATAAAATAATGATACAAAGTGAGTCTGACTCTGAAAGACAAGTATTGCATTTTTCTCTCAAATGTAGAACACACACACACACACACACACACACAAAGATGGCATAAAAGTAGAAGGGACACTATGACAGAAGAGAAAAGGAATCAGAGGGAGGAGTACATGGGGTGGAAATGCTCAAAAGAAGTCCTAGGTACAAACGGCTAGGCTTCAGTGAGACCCCTTATTCCGTATTCTTAATATGCACTGATTAAAAAGTAGATTATAATAATTACATAAACCAGTAACAGAGCCACTTACCCCCATGATCAAGCATCACAGAGTACACGCTTCTCTGTGGAGCACAACTTTTGTCCAACTGTCAGCAGGGTGGATTTGTTGCATCAGCATGAGCACGTGAGGAATGCATTCAACTACAATGTGACACAGCAGTGACAACACGGGGGACAGGAAGTCTTCAGCTGCATTATAACCCTAAGAGATCGCCATCATTTATGCAGCTTATCATTGGTCAAGACGTCACCATTCCAGCCCATGTCCGTGTAGGAGCTGATCTGATCATGCCAATGTTAGAGACCAGCAAACTGAGCTCGGAGGGTTCAAAAAAGAATATTAGAGAGCACATGGGTCCAGGACTGCACAGGTGGAGTTGAACCCCAGGTGGTGTGCCACTCTCATCTGTCCCATGTGATCTAGCGTCTTGTGTACTCACAGGCACATCAAAGGAGAGATGCTACTCTAGAGGTGAGTCTCCTCATGGCCCCCATCATGTCCCTGTTCCTCAGGCTGTAGATGAAGGGGTTCATCATGGGGGTGACCACAGTGTACATCACGGAGGCGATGGCACTCTTCCTGGAGGAGGGAGTAGCTGTAGAACTGAGGTACACCCCAAAGCCCGTCCCGTAGAACAAACAAACAACGATTAAATGTGACCCACAAATGGAGAAAGCTTTATACTTCCCACCGGCAGATGGAATTTTCAGGACAGAGGACACAATTTGAATGTAAGAGAACATTATCCCACAGAGGGGAACGACACCCAGCAGGCCAGTCACCAGATACACCAGGATGTTATTGATGAGGGTGTCAGAACAGGCCAGCTTCAGAATATGAGCCAGTTCACAGAAGAAGTGGGGGATATCGAGGTCTGCGCAGAAGGACAGCCGCAGGGCCATCAGAGTGTGGAGCAGGGCATCCAGGGCACTTATGAGGAAGGACAGCAGCACCAGCAGCCCACAGAGTTTGGGGGTCATGATGACATTGTACCTCAGTGGGTGACAGATGGCCACAAATCGATCATAGGCCATCGTTATCAGAATTCCATTTTCCAACCCAGCAAAAACCAGGACAAACCAGATCTGAGTGAGGCAGCCCGAGTAACTGATGGACGAACTCCGTGACTGGAGGTTCACCAGCATCTTAGGGACCGTGGTCGAAATGAAACACAGGTCCACCAAGGACAGGTTGGAGAGGAAGAAGTACATGGGGGTGTGGAGGTGGGGGTCAGAGCTGATGGCCAGGATGATGAGCAGGTTCCCAAGCACCGTGACCAGGTACCCAGACAGGAACAGTCTAAAGAGGAGGGGCTGCAGGTCTGGGTCCTCTGAGAGGCCCGTGAGATGGAATTCTGCTGTGCCTGAGAAATTCGCTGATTTCATGTCATCGATTTGTCTAATAGCAAAGACAGGAGTTATAAGAAAATAAAACTCTAGAGAAACTCCCTGAATCCTCACTATAATTTAAGAACAAATCAGGTTTTTTCCCCTCCCCTTTCCTTACTTTGATTTTTTTTTACCCCACACTTCTTCCTCTATCCCAAGTGTTTTTCTGTTTCATTTTTTAAATTTTTTAATTGGCACATAATAATCATACATATGTGCGAGGTGCAATGCATGTAATTCAATTGCATTGATCAAATCATCTAATTGGGAAATCAGTGTGTCCACCATCCCATATGGTTGAACATTCCAGAATCTTCTCTCCTAGCTCTTTTGAAATACATGATTCATTCTGTTGGCTACAGTCACCAAACTTTTATGTTCCAACTACTCTATTTCAAGTATGGATACTTAGGGAGAATAAGATGGAAAAGGAACATTGTCCTCTCCCCTAGAATGGCTTTAGGCAAGTGTCTCTGGAATCATACTTCCAAGGCTACATTCTAGAGCTCACTTTGGGAAATGGTCTTTGGGCCACATCCAGGCTGCTCCTTGTTTTTCTTGGTACAGTTTGCTTGGGTCATAGCTTTGTGTATTTCCTGTGGCTGCACTTGTGGCACAAAGGCAGAACTGAGCCCTTATCACAGAGACAACATGGCCCACAAATCCTGATATTTACTGTCTCACTCAAACTGTTTGCCCACCTGTGATCTGTCGATTAGAATTTAGGTTCAATGTTTTGGCAAGTATCCTCAAGTACTTTTGTGAGAAATATGCATGAAATATTGTCTGCTCGTCTTCTAGTAATTATTAATGCATTGAGATGCAGTAATTCATTGAGAGTTACAAAAGGCTAACATTTGATAATGTGGATAACGGTTAAAAAAAGGTGGATAGGTGAATAATTAACTGCAAAACTGTTTCAATGTCAACAGCATTGACTACAGTCCATCTCCATGGATAGATCAATATTCAGATCCATCATTTACCCTTTACTTTCCAGAGGCTTCCCACTGATGTCCTTCTCACCTACCATTTTCTCTTCCTTATAACCAGTTTGTGAAAATAAATATTAACCCATTTATCCAGTAGCATAAGTTCCTCCCCCCATTTTTATTTGTCTGAGCACATGCATTTTACTTGTATCACATAAGTGTTAGAAAAAAAAGAATGTTAAGAATCAGCCTTTGCTCAGATCCTCCCTCCTATTATTTCTGCTCAGGCCACCTCAGTCCCTGGCCCAGGTGAGCTCAGAGCCTCAGCACTGATTCCTGGAGAAATCCTGGAAGGACCAGCTTAGGACCAGTCTTGAGCCTCTCTATTCCCTATGATGTAGCAAGATTCCTAAGACTGGACCCTGGAGCCCCCAGAGAGGCAACAAAGAATTGGTCCTACCACACATCCAGAGTGATCATGGTGGTTAATGCTGCTACCAACTCCTCACAACTCCTGCTACTAGAGTTTTTGGACAAATAGATCAAGAATTCACACTATGACAAAGACTGGCCGTGACACTTCTAGCATTTGATGAGTTTGTCCATATGGTACTAGAAGTTGCCACTGAATTTGAAGTCATCCTAGGAAGGAGGAGGATTACGAAATCAGATCAGAGTGTACTGAGTGCAAATAGTGTACCAATGCTCATGCTAGAGAAGGGCCAGAAGGGCGCAGAGATCTCCCTGACTGTGCTAGGCTCTGTTTTGTTGTACAATGGTGACAAAGAAGGATTTTTTTAACTTACTCTTTTTCACTTAGATCGTATAAAACTAAGATGGCTGTTAAAAGGAGAAGTTTCGAAGATGTACAGATACCCATTTTTGTAAGTTCATCATAATTATCTTGAAAAAGTCTTTGTTCTTTGAAGATAAAAATAAAGGTGTTCTGGGCTGGGGATCTAGCTCAGTTGGTAGAGTGCTTGCCTCAGGTGCACAGGGCCCTGGGTTCAATCCCAGCAAAAGAAGGAAAGAAAGAAAGAAAGAAAGAAAGAAAGAAAGAAAGAAAG